CAGCTTCCTTTAAACGTTCCCCTCCTGCACCTGTTTGTTTTTGCCTTTCAGATCCTGCCAGATCAACAAGGTTGATCCTGCTAGTCTTTAAGCTCACTAAGCCATCTGTCACGCTCTACAAGATTTTAATATAAGAAAGGTGTCTCAGAATTAACTATAATAAAGCGAAGGAATAAAACATATCTGCTATGTACCATCTGATGTTTAAAGGATGCAGCAAGCTTTTTTTATTGTCAACCTAATCAGACAACTTCCATTAGAATGTAAATTTCACTAATCTGTATGATTTAGCTATCTATCTTTTGATAAAAAGTTATATAAAAGCAAGTAATCTTAAAAGCATGATAGAACAGATGAGATCCTACATCAAAGATATGTCATATGTGCCCACTGTTAGCAAAAAGAGCACCTCTGAAAATTTGGTGTTCACAGAATGAGGAAGTGAAGACACTGAATTCAATAAAGAAAGCAATACATAATGCATGATATTTGTAATCTTAATTTGATAAAATTGAAGCTCAACACCAGAACCTATAATGCATGATATTATCAGTACTCCATTGAAGTAACATGAAATAAAAGCAATACTGCTTCATGTCAAAATGATACTAGATTCTTATTTTCGGAGGCCAAGACATACTATCATCATCATCTAATATCATTATAACATCTCAATTTGTAGTACAAACTTTGAAGTATATCAAAAGAAGAATAGAGATGCCACCTTAGAACGAGACTCAATGATGCAAGTAAACACACAATGAGATCGCGAACTTTCCACATTTATACTTGTTGCACCAGTCCTCCTGTTTGCAAGTCCCTGTATGTGTAAAGGAGAGCAGTATATGGGCATAATTATACTAAACAAAAGCTTAAAAAAATTCTTAGTTAATCCAAGAAACAGCTCCATATTCAAGACCTTCATCAAATGTTGAAGTCATATATTTCAGTAAATATTGAACTATTTACATTTTACAGAACCCTGTGTCTGATCCAGATTCTGAATATCCAACTTCTGAGTACACAGCAACAATCACTGAATACCCAAAGGAGACAGTAAATAAATAAAACCAATAACACATCAAACTGGACTGGATAGGCCTTCTTGGAAGCCCATGCTTGAGATTCTTAAGCATATATTCCCTCAAAAGCATATCAATTGGAAGTATGGTTGCATCTCATCTGCTGGCATTAATTGTTTGATTAATAGGTTTCCCTCTACTTGATTTACTAGCCATCAAGGGTGAGATAATTGGCTGTATGCATACCTGTTTGTACTTGCTAACTAGAGCTTATCCAGCCATTGGCATGAATTTTATTCTCAACACAAAATGATCATGATTACCTTGACTAGGAATTCAGCATTCCTCATTTAACGCATGCATATGATGTATGAAGTTCTCAATACATCATTTGATTAGCCTATTGCAAACACCTTTGGTACAAATATATATTCTAAGTTTTTGAAACATACAGGCTATGGAATCAATAGAAAACCTGAATTACTACAAGAAGGCAACAAATGATCTTTTTGAGATATTGTGTCGACAATCACATGCAACAATAGTATAGGGCTAATTACATATTATCCCCTGTAGTTAGACCTCCTTAACATCTCAATCGTTAGACTTAAAAAATTTATATTGGAATCTCTATAGTTATAAAAATGAAACATCTAGGGTCCATTTACCCTAATATCATCAATTTTATCGATGAAAACACAAAAACAAAAAACAAAGAGATAATTTCAATCATTCCCGTTGGTGATGGTGGACGATGATGGTGGTGACAGACGACGACGTTGGAAGTCGTAGGTGGTTGTTGTGGATGAGGAGAGCAGCGAAGAGAGATGAGGGCCGCTCATCGACGTCAACGCAATTGTCGAACAACCATCGATGCTAATGCAATGAACGGCCCTTTCGCCACTCTATATTTGCGTCGACGCTGATGCAGATACCGAGTGGCCCTTTCGCTGCTCGACGCAGCCCTTTCGCCACTCTATTTGCGTCGGCATCGATGCAGATACCGAGAGGCCCTTACGTCGCTCGACAACTACGTCGACGCCGATGAGCAACCCTCACCTTTCGCCACCACTCTCCTCATCCACAATAGTCATCCGTCGCTTCCAACGACATCATTGTCCTCCACCACCAATGGGAATGATTAAAATTACCTTTTTGCCTATTAATTTTGTATTTCCATTGGTAAGACCAACGACGTTAGAGTAAATGGATCTAAATGTTTCACTTTCATAACTATAAGGATTCCAATGTAAGGAGGATTCCAACCAATGCATCAAGATAAAACAAAGGCATCAATGGTTTGCATAAGAAGATTATAGCAACAAAATAGTACATTCATAAAAAATATAGAGAAAGAATAATATACAGATGACGAATGCTTAATTATTTTAATATGTTAAATGGATTTTTCTATAAGTGAATGCATTCCACTTCAATTAAAATAAAGACATTGTGTCCTAACAGCAAATGTAAACATACAACGACATCATAATTTGACCAATATAAACCAACACAAAATGAAATAAGAGGAAAGGTAGCACTGAACAAGTAAGAAGGAATGACATGGTTATGGGTAGTATAACATGAAGAGCGCTTTACTTTAAATCTTAAGTCATAAAAGAAAGTTGTCCAAAAGAAAATAGATTAAACAAACAAAATTGATGAAGATGATATTTATTTGAGACAATAGTGCTCAAAGCCACAAGTTAGCAATATATCAAGCATATTCCAAACTAATATGAGAGCACATAAAGGAATTGATAAAAGAAATAATTGTTTTGCCATCATTTCTGATCTATCCGCAAGATTATAGGCAATTGTCAAAATTTCTTATTTGATGCTTATTGATATTAAGCATACAACCGTAAAGGAGTTTGAGAAAATAATATGTGAATTTCACCTTCATCAACAAATTATTTACATCCTTCACTGTAGATACATACTCCTCTGTCAAATAGTCCACATAAACACCAGTTCTTACATCTTCCCTGATCTGAAAGATATCACCAAAGTTTCATCAAAAAATAAACAAGAATGTCATGGGCAAGTAATAAGAAACAGTGAAAGAAAAAAATTTTGTTTGTCACCTGGAGATTTCTTTGAGTTGGTTCCAACAAGTCGGTGATCTGTTCATTGTAGATCTGTAAACCCAAGAACCTGACAAATCAGGTAATAGCATTGCAACAAAGCTAGAGATACTTGGAATATCAGGTAGCATCAGCACACTTGCCTCCAAGAAGGAACAACGGCACTGGTAATTCAGCTGCTTGTCGGAGTGCTTAGATTGTTCCTGGGATATTACATCTTTAAGCACAACGCTGGCAAAATTTCATATAAAGCAGAAGTTCTAAAGTTGTTTACTTCATCTATGCGACAAAATAGCCTCTCAAAAACACGCGGAGTCAATCCTCGGTCGGTGCTAGATGCACCCTCTGACATAACACTGGGAGGCCCCCACATAGTATAAGTCTTTCCACTTCCGGTCTTTACCAAAGAAATCAACAGGAAACAATTAATGTAGCATTTTTTACAGACAAGTCCGTCAGAAGAAAGAAGCCCTACAGAGATCAAAACACAGAAGCAGTCTTCACCTGCCCATATGCAAATATCGAGCTGTTGAACCCAGCCAAACAATTCTCCACCAACGGAAGCCCAACGAGTCGAAATATATCTTCCTGGCGTTCAATTCCAGCAAAAAATTTAGGAGCTTTCTAAAGCATTTACCTATAAATTCTATAAACGGGAATATTTCGGACTCCACTGAATCAAACAGGTACACCCACCTGTGTGGATCTGATATCAGCTACCGAATCAAAGGTGAACGTGTGATCAAGAATTGAAAGAGAGTTCACAGAGGCCTTCTCCACAATCAGATCGGCTTCTTCCTCCTGCTTGCCCGGAGGCCGCATCCTCACGATCACCTACTTAACCCAACAAATCGCTCTCATGCAAAGCCAACAAGCGCAGCCGTCAACAATAATCCTAAAATATACCTGAACGCCAGAATCCGGCACCGACGAGGGCGGAACCCCATTCTCGGCGATGGTTTCCAAGATGAGCTTCCTCTTGAGCGGGTTGGCGGAGTGTTTGGAGGCGAGCGGCGGGCGAGGGGGAAGGGGGCTACGGTTCTTGGCGGAGAGGGGCTTTCCGCCAGGCGCATGGCTGTGGAATGGGGACCGATCCGGCGGCGCGGGGCAGGGGTCGACGTTCTCCTTGGGGATCCGAGGCGGCCGCTGCTTGTGCGAGGAAGGAGCGAGGGTTTCGGAGGGCGGAACCCTAGTGCTCCTAGGACTCGTGAAGGCTTTCATGGAGATCGAAGAGAGAGGGAAGCGGGAACGAGATCGGAAGTTCGGAACCCTAATAGCGAGATTGAGACGTTGAGAGATGAGGGTGAAGAGGGGGAAATGGGAGGTTTAAATCCGATAAGGGTATAAACGTAATTTTATTCTAAGGGGCCGAGAAAAGGCCGTTCAAATTTTTGGGGCATACGATTACCCGCGGATCAGCGTACGATGGGGTTTAATGAGGCGGTGCGAAGGGCAAAGTTCGTGATGGAACGGTTTCGTTAGAGTGCACCTTTCTTTCATCACGATGAGTATGTTTGGAGCAAATAATGTAATTACAAATCTGTATATAATAATAAGTAAATCATCTTATATTATGGAACATTTTCCATTTCCCACTTTGTAAAATCATAAATTTCTATGGTTTTAACCAAAAAGATGTAATTTTGGGAGAAGATAGATTTAATAGATAATTTGACCATGTAATTTATATGGAAAATGGGAAATGAATGAACGTTATGTATATATCTTTTGATTTGTGTTATATTTCACTATTTAGAAATTTGAACATTATACTCAGCTCATCAATACGACACACGCCATACTTTTCTTTACCGGTTCGAATACGAAGTAGCTCTACTGCAAGCAATTCCAATTGACGGTTACGAACAATGGATCACGAGGGAAGAAGACATACCAAGAACAAATTGTCCACACGGATTAAACATGATGGAAACAAAGATAATTTATGGTAGCTACAAAAGTATTAAGAAGCCTTGAATGAGCGAGCATTAAATAAGGTTCACTTGAAGATGAAACTAACAAGGTTCCTTAAGCTGATGCAAAGCAATTGCACAGGTTCTCATTCGGAACTAACTGAAGAAATGACCGAAGCATTACTTAAGCTGCACCTCCTGCTCCTTTGCCCTTCTTCCTCTGGATCTTCTTCATGTAGAATTCCAGCTCTTTTCCTTCCAATACGTATCTAAGAATCATAGACCACAAAGAAGAATGACCAATTAGTTCAGATGGCAGAGGAATAGGGAGAAAGACAGGTTGTAGCTACTTGAGAAGATCTTCTAATGGTTGGTTATTCTTACCCATCTGCTCGGCCACACTGACCAGGGCGGGAGGAGATACAAGCCAACAACCTTCCACTGCTAAATTGCTCCTCGATGTGGGCATCGAGTTTGCGACCCTGCTGACGCTTCTCCAGCTTCCTGGTGACATGATTACTCTTATTTGCTTCCTCTGTAGCAGGTTCAGCCTCCTGTCCCTGCCGCCAATGCAAAGGAACGCGTTAAATGAGAAGATAATCATCAAATTTAGTCCACAGCAATTTGAACATATCATAAGAAAGCAGTGGAGTCCTCTACATTGAATCACATGATTTTATGTATCTTAAGAAGGCAGTGGAGTTACTCCATTGAATCACATGCTGAGAATCAAGCAAAAGATAACCCTGAATGGAGACCTTGGTAGATTGTGCTAAAGAATCACAATATTAACATAAAGCTCTATAAAATACAAAGCACGGTAACTACAAGGCAAGCCAACTCCAGCACAATGGTTTTCTAAGCCAATTAAAATTAGAAGACTCACAGATATTCAAGTCAAAAAGCCGTGTTACAACATGATCCAAAAGCTATCCAACAACAACTTGCCAACAACATCAATTAGGGGACAAACTTCTATACAATCAGTGCATACATCAGTTAAAGAAGAAAAAGACGATAACCGCTAGGATTATGTTAGGACATTGTATTATAGTCAAATTAGTTGAGAGCAAGTTTAGACATTGACAGTTAATATTAAATTGTACAAGAACAACATAGCACCCTAGATTTCTCACTTTAATAATTTGTGTATTACCAACACCTTTAGTATTAAGATAGTTTCAATTCCAAAAGAAGTTAAATGGTTACAATGAACAAAGAAAAACTGATAGTATTCTTGTAACTACAAAACAACTTCAGTTAAGACTTTAATGGAGAAAGCATTATGAAACTAAGAAAAACAGTATATTCTCAACTTCACAGCTAAAAGGGGTATCAGTGCTCTTGGATAAACATTGTTCACTATTTAGTGCACATAACTTAGACCTTCTATTTAACTTTTTGGATAGATATCTCTAGCCGTACGTGATTAAATTGTGATCAGTAAGGCACTTTTTTGGACATAATAGCACAGATAAAGCCTGCACAATGCCCAAAATAACAACTAAAATCCTAAATAAAAGTTTTGTTCAACTTAATCCATAAAAACATTTGTTTGGAATGTTAAGGCTATCCAAGGCCATCTACAGGGACTGAAATACCAATTTTAAAAATCTATTTCCTAGCATGCTAGTAAGTCCAATCATTTGTAATGTGCAAATTTATTGTCAGATCATGTGTAAATCAGCCCAGAATCGTGTGTAAAAGCAGCCCCAACATCATCAGTGTAAAAAAAAAAATCCAATCACCTTAAAATATTCACCATTAATGATCAAATCAAACAAGTAGATAACAAGTCAATGATCCAGCCTCAGAATGAGGCATCTATTTCATCGCCACATAGATGGTGCTAAAAATCTGAAATTCACATATGTTGAACATATTTCTTGTTAAGGCTTAAGTTGCCTGCTCAGTTATAATACATAGACAATCTCTGACATTACATCTTTTAACGCATGAACTAATCTTTTAGGTAATAAGAAAACTGCAACCTTTGTGTAAATTTGCTTTTGCTTGAAACCCAGCACTATATTAGCGGAATCTTCTCATTTTCAAACGAAACTAAAAAACAAATCTGAAAAAGGTTTTCATGATAAATTACATAAAGTTCCTTCTGTGGCACCAAAATGCCAGATAACTGTTATAATTTCTAACCAAATCAAAGAAACTGGTCAGAAAATCTAGCATTCATAGCACCGAGAAGTGTAACACTGAAACCTACACTACAATGGACTAAAACTTCACTGATGAAATTAGTTGATCATGCCATAAAATGCATGATTAGTAAACCTTAATTGAGACCAAAAGGTATACTGCAGTCCCAACTTCCACCAAACCTCTTCTCATCACTATCCACAAATGAGAAACCCTACTTATCAAGAACATATAAAATCTAGAGAAAGCATCAAAGTTAATGCTACCAAACAAGACAACTGAGCCCTCACTGGCGTAAAACTACAAATAATCATCAGCTCCATTTATTGGGAGTCAACAAATAAATAGCATGAAAAAATGAACAAAGCTATAATCCCCAGGAAGCCCACCTCTGGAAAATCTGAGATATAGCCTTGTAAGCAGTATCAGAACCAGAATAAAAACAAACACAATCCAAAGTGCTATCAAAAAACAATTTAACTAAAAGCAAAATCTGATGGATATATGGGACAACAGAAAACATAACATCAAAGAAATTCACCTCAGTTGCTTCCTTCTTAACAGCAGGGGCTTTCTTCTTCCTGCCAATCTCAACACCATAGTGCTGGAGATACCACTGCTTGAATGGGGCAGCATCAACCTGAATGATGGCACTCTTCACAAGGGTCTGTGTCCTCACAAGCTCGTTGTTTGAAGCGTTGTAGACCACATCAAGGATACGGGTCTTGCGTGTCACTGCCTCACTCCCCCATGAGTAGTTCCCATGATCCAAGCGGAGGGCCCTCCACTTCACGTTGCCTCCTCGAACTCGAACCCTCCTCACAGTCTTGTTGCTCGAAAGTTTGGTATTAGCTGGTTGCCTTCCCAACTCATACCTTTCAAGACAAATGGTAAAACACGCTAAGATTACATCGAGAAAAAACCGTCCCCAACAAAACTAACGAAAATAGCACGTTTGATAACCAAATCTGAAGGTTTAAGAAATAGATAGCAAGAGAAAACAGTGAGAACAGCGCAAAGCATCGCTTAGAATAAAAATCTCGACATTTTTAAGAGAAATCATGCGAATCAGAACTGTACATGCAAGAAAGCATCAAAATGAATTGAAGAATCGCCAACATTCAACGAGTGGGGTGCCACAATCCACGTAAAGTACAATCACATCACATAATGACAAGAAACAAACGCTACAAGCAATCAACACCGCAAACGAGATGAAAAAACATCAGATGAGGTGGTTTTACTACGACAGAGAAAACATATAAGGAACTAACTTTCTCTTCTTCCGCCACGCCTTCTTCTTCCCTCCGGTGGCCCGCCTCTTGTGCATGGAGTCCCGCGAGATACCTGCGAGCAGAAGGGCAACGTCATGGGTACACAGATCTCAGGGTTTCCAACTGTGGATCGAGAACCTAGCGTTCCGATCCTTACCCATATTGTCCGGTCGCGGCAAGCAGCTTCCTCTCTCTCCCCGGTACTTCTGCCGCCGCCCTCGTCGCTCCTCTCTCTCGCACACCCTCCCTGCCCTCAAACCCTAGCCTTTTATATCGCGACTTCATTATATCGGCCAGGGTGTTCGCATATAGATTCTTATGCGTACACTGTCTCGACGGTCGGACTAAACCGGAATCGGACTTGGCCTGGTCGAACCAGACCCGTCGATCAACGTAGTAATCAGGTCTGGACTTTGGCTCACCCATACTAATTATTATTATAATCAAACACAATATTTTGTTCTACAAGCTTCTTATATTTCCATTTGTTTTATACATGTAATGTATAGGTAAAAGGTATATGCTTGTAGAGAGATAGATGGCTTCATCTAAACAAGTTTTTGACCAAGTAGCATTTGGCTAGCTAGTCCTTTTTATTTTACTACTTAATATGATATGTCTATGCTTGTCAAAATAAATTTATATGAATTTAATTTTTTTTGTGTTCATAAAGTCAACTCCAAAGTAGACAATATTTTTAATAATTAAAATATCATGTATAAAATGATTTCGAGTATGTTTTTTAGTGTATGGTCTTAGTACAATACATATATAATTTTTTTAGAAAATAAATTTCAATATTATAAAAATAACAATCGCTTATACAATTTTTTATAAGTGAGTTTAGCTATTCTTTCCAACAAAAAAAAAAGTATATTGGATATATTGTCTTTTAAAAATTTATCAGGTGTCTGATATGGACATTATTTTTTATCAATTAAAAGTTAATACTATTTGGTCATAAAAATGATATCATTAATAAGGGAAATATGTGTCATTAATAAGGTTTATTGGGCATAGGTCATCTCTAGGCATGTGTCATATTTGAAGGAAGGTATGTTCCTCTCTCCTATGGTTTTCGATCGAATTAAGAGCTCGGTTGAGGATCACATCTTGTTCTAACATAGGGAACTCTTCATCCTTCGTAAAGCTTAGTCGATATTCCTAATTAATCAATTTCTAAGGAGGCCTCATCCTCGTTTCTTCTCCCTCACACGTTTTTGACATATTCAATTTTTATCCAAATTTTAAGTATTAAATATTTGCTAAGAGAGCCTTGGTTTATTAGTGGGGAGACTCTACATCTCATCCCTTATATCTTGAACCTCTTTTGAGAATTTTAAGTTTACTTTTATTTAAGTCCAAATATTAGATCTCTCATTTAAGTACTAGACTCATAAATATCTTTTGAATTATATATAATTTATTAATTTTATTAAATTTGATAGGAAATATTCTGGTACTGCCCATGCGACAATGATCGACGACCACCTAAAAGTCTATGTGGTATCTCAAACTTGATGTGACACCTCAAATATGACAATCACATCTCGGTGTCGAGAAGTCACATGCGTAGATACGAACTTGAAGAAACACAACATCCTTGCGATGACATACGACTGTGCTTGTACGCTCGAGGTTTTATAAGATGATGCCGCATGACATGAAATAGTATAGGTCGACTCGTATCACTTAAAGAATATGTATCGATCGCTTTGAGTATTAACGATCATTTAACGACCTAAGTATGGTGGACTCCCTATGAAATGTATAAATATCGATCATTCGGTCAGTATCGTAGGATTAGACCTCAAATACAAAGAAACGCTTTTGGATCTACCTCATACTAACTTAGGCTTCAGAGGGGTCGAGTCGAGAATCTCCCTCATAACATTGATCTATTGTATAAAAAGACAATGTCGAAATAAGAATCCAAGACGTCGATTTCAACCCGACCTTGCCCTTCCATCCCCGTTAACATGAAGTGCTGTGAAAAGTTGGAAGTATAATTAATTTTGATTTCATTACTCAAATGATTATTTAATCTAACATATCAAATGATTCACAGATGGACTAATCATTTGATTTGATATTCAGTTTTTCATTAAACATCTGATTGTTTGACATGATGGTCGATTCATCGATTAATCATTCATCTAAATTATTTATTTGGATAAAATATTTGCTATATCTCGTAGCAAACACATTCAACACATAATTAGTTTCTCAATTTTATCAATAAAATATTAGATTATATATATAATAATATTTTTTATAAATCCGATTTATGTTTGAATCCAAATTCGAAATTTCAAGAACACGTTCAACGCACGTGTTATTGGGTCGGTATAGTTTCAGTCAACAATATGATTTAGTTGCATGCTGCCGCCTTTGTTTTATTTCTTTTTCTCCTCTCTCATTCTCCTTGTTTTTGACTCCTTTCCGCTGCCCGATTGCCTTCCAAACCCTAACCCTAGCATCGGCTCGTCAGACCTCCGGCTATGGAGGCGGTGGTGGAGGGCCTATGGTCGCTGGCGGAGGAGGCGGAACTCCGCCGCGATTACGGCGCGGCCGCCAAGTGCCTGGAGTCTCTCCTGCAGTGCGGAGCCTCTCTACTCCCCCTCGTGGAGATCCGCACCCGCCTCCGCCTCGCCCACCTCCTCCTGTCCCGCTCTCACAACCTCAACCACGCCAAGGCCCACCTCGAGCGCGCCCTCCTACTCCTCTCCTCCGCCCGCTCCGCAGCCCTCCACCTCAAGCTCAGCGCCCACTCACTCCTCGCCCGCTGCTACCACCTCATCGGCGCCATCCCTTCCCAGAAGCACATCCTCCTCCGTGCTCTCGACCTCCTCTCGTCCTCCGCTGCCGGCGGCTCCCTCCCTCCTGCTGCCACCCTTCTTTGGTCTGCGAATTTTTATTCCCATCTCGCTTCTACCCTCGTCATCGACGGGGATCACCCTGGCGCTCTCTCCGCTCTCTCCTCTGGTTTTGGGGCAGCTGCGGAGCTCCGCAGCTCTGAGCTGCAGCTCTTCTTTGCAGCCTCTGCCCTCCACGTCCACCTCCTTCACTGGGAGGACCCACCGTCCGTCGAAGACACTGTCCGCAAGTGTCTCGAGCTGTGGGAGTCCATTCCATTCGACCAGGTTCCACCTTCCTGCCATTTTCACCCTCAACATAGGCAATTTGTATAACCCTATTTTCATGATCTCACTAGTTCTATTGCTGCAGAGACAGCACTACATTGGATTGTTCTTCTATAACGAGTTGCTCCAAACCTTCTATTTGCTGAGGATTTGTGACTATAAGGGTGCAGCTCAGCATGTTGAAAAATTGGATGCCGCCATGAAAAGCGAGCAGCAGAAGGTTCAGCATGTGAAAGAATTAATTGCAGAGCTGAATTCTGTGAACAGGAGCCTCTTCCAATCTAATTTACAGCGGAGAGATAGGTTGTCATTGTACGAGAAGCAGAGCCAGCTTCAGGAGCAGTTGAGAATGGCTACTGGGGTGGACTCCACTAACAAGTTGTTGGATCTTGATGACAAGTTGCTATTGGCACCTCCACCAATGGATGGGGAGTGGCTTCCGAGAGGTGCTGTCTCTGCATTGGTGGATCTCATGGTTGTCATGTTGGGTCGCCCAAAGGGGGTATTTAAGGAGTGTGGAAGGCGGATACAGTCTGGACTGCAGTTAATTTATGGTAAATTTGTGTATGATAAGCCACATCTTGCTGTATTTCATTCAGTTTTTGTTTTTTGTGTTTTTGTGGTTAATTTTTATGATTGACATGGTTGAATAACATAGTCATCTATCTGGTATTTGGTTCCATGAACCTGTCTTGCATTATCTTCCCTTAGTGGCCCAAAATGCCTAATAACAAATAATTGCATTGTTACGGTTTTTACTCCAAGCATGTGATGCATGGAATGAAACTGATTGAGGGCAAAAATAAAAGTAAATATTTTTCTAGAAAGTATTCAAATCGTGTTAAATATAATTTGTGTTAGATTCTTACATGAAGATCTCCTGACTTGTGTGCAGAGGAACTAGCGAAATTAGGTGTCGTCGATGGTAGGAGAGGTATGTAGTTTCTGCTCTCAGTGTTTTATCATGCTATATTATATTTTTCTTCAGCATTTTTTTTGTTATTTGTACCTTGTATTATAGGGGTGAGGGGGGTCGAGGTTGGGGGAACAAAATTGTGTATATGTGCTTCTTCTTAATTACTATTTTTGGTTTTTTGATAGGCCTGGGGTTGGGTTTGGATTGTGGTTAGGGTGCTTGGATACTCACATTCTCTATGAAATATCTTGCATATTTGTATCATAATTATCTTGTCCAAATGATTTTGCTTTTTAGAAAGCATCCAATGTATAACTGTCTAAATCATCTATATTTGATTACATTGCATGAGTGCAATGTTCCATGTGTTTTAATCATTGTTGGAATCTACAAAAGATCAAGTCAGGAATAAATGAGTATATGAAAATGTACATAATGAAGAATTAATTTAATTGATTGCTGTATTATTTGATAATGACAACAAAGCTTGTGCAAAAATCAAATGAAAAAAAGTGGAAAAATCTCGACAGACTGGTCCAAGACAATGTCAGGAATATGATAAAAAATTGGCAGAAGAGGAATTTTACCATTATTAGACTGGGCAATGCATCTGGGTGGAAAACTTTTGACATATTGAAAGACAACACCATAAGGAATTATATATTGGATTTGAGTCTTTTGTCTAATTACCTATATAATTAATGGAACATTTATGTTCTGAGCATGGTTATGAGTTTCAGCCCACTCTTCCAGGTTCCCAGCATGGTATTGGCTCAGGGATCCATGAGATGCCATGCTGGGGAAGGATTTGCAGCATACTCTTATGCATATTGTTGGCTGGCGTTACTTGAGACAGATCCTATTTCTAATGAGTTGGCAAAAAAATAGATTAGTTTACTCTAGATAAATTTAGTTCTTTGCATCTTTTGTCCAAATCGTTGCCTTTTTCAATTTTACTTACATAAGAAGTGTTCATATGGTGCTTAGAGGTGGATTTGCAGCACTCAGCAATCTGGATGGCTGGGCTGTATCTGATGCTTCTAATGCAATTCCTGGAAAACAAAGTTGCAGTAGAACTTACTCGGTCGGAGTTTGTTGAAGCTCAAGAGGTAGATTCTCTTAACTACTGATGGCTCAATGACTGAGTATATATTTTTGTTGTATTGTAGAATTCATTTCATTGACTTTGTTATGATTCCCTGGTAACATTTGCTCTGGTTGTTGATAAAGTTTGTGGTACCTTCTATGGGACTTACAAGACACAGATTGAGTTTCATGATATGTGTGCCTCTTTTCTTGATAGTGCAGTTCCAAAGATATAGTGACAACAAAATATAAATAAGTTATGCCTTTTTAAAAATATAGAGAAATTAATTCAGGAGTGGTTTCCTTCTGTTTTCGATCGTCTTAGCTCCTTGTCTTTGACTTGTTCCTTTCCATCTAATCTTTCTTCTATGCATAAGTCATCAGCTTAAACATCGAATAATAGGTAAATATCCTTACATAATGTCTGAACTTCAAGGTTTCAGGTAACTTGTGATGCTTCATTAGTTTTTTATTTAAATTGCACCAATAATTAGAGTTGAATAATTTGCATCGCTGTGAAATTTCTGTTTTGATTGTTTGAACAAGACTCGAATTAAATTTTTATTTATTGATTGACATGTTGATTGAATATTTATTTGATACTAACTATGAACACAAGGAATTCAGTTGTGTTTGTGAAACAGTTGTTTCTGAATCTTCTGAAAAATTGAATCTGACAGTATTATTATCCGATGTAAAAAAACACTTTGTAAGTTAATAATTTGTCAACAAGCATATCAATTCGGACAGAATACTAGAAGAGTTGTGGCGTCTTAGTTTCTGCATGTATTACCGGGTTAGAGCAGAAACCATTAAAACTTATGAGGCTTGCTCATACCTTTGGGGTCATTACATGTGATGCAGTTACATGATGCAGATTTTTTTGAAATGCACAAAGAACTTTGAATAAATCCTAAAACTAAGTTAGAATTCAATATCAACTTATGTAGTAAAGGAATAACTAAGGTTCAACATTGAAAAAAAAATCCGAATGAGACAAATCATCTCTAGCAAGTCTTTAATTATTGGCAAAAGAAAAAAAAGATCTACCAGCAATTCAAAAAATAAACCAACAACAACAATATGTTCAAATCAAAATTATTAGGAGACTGTAAATTTAGGCTAAGCCCTAAAGTAGTGGGTATGAATTCATGGATTATTTGGTAATGTAAGTACGAGTTAATGTCTCACCAGGAAAAGGCTCATGGCAGTCAAGCTGGATCTGCTAAAAATACTAAAAATAGGAGAAACTCAAGTGCAGATGAGCTGGTAAAGCTGTTCTCATATAGGCTCAAGAGTAAACTTCTCTTTCTTCCACCCTTAAGTTACTTTCCATCCTAGTGATATATGTATGATGGAAATAATTGTGTCTAATCTTATCTAAAAAATGGGAAACAAATACCCAAGTATCAGAAATCATTAAAATCACAAAAGTATCATACAAAAGAATCTAGCCTAATAATAAAATAAAACAAATAAAACATCAATGATGTGAATAACTCCTAAATCTAGGTGACCAAAGGCTATGAGCTTACATTAACATGAATCTTCTTCACCATTGAACTTTGTTGAGGGCAATATACCTAATCAACTAAGGCCATCAAATATGTTTATGCTGTTTCTAACAAACTTAATGTCTTCTTATGGATCTAGGTGATCAAAGGCTATGAGCTTACATTAACTTGGATCTTCTTCACCATTGAACTTTGTTGAGGGCAATATATCTAATCAACTAAGTCTATCAAATATGTTTATGCTGTTTCTAACAAACTTAATGCCTTATTCTATCTCTTCATGCATCATTAATAATAATTAATTCACCATATGAATTTGGTGCATCTATAAGTCTTATTTGAATATGTCCGCAAAACCTTCCAGTTTCCCCTCATTTTTCCCTTGGAATTATCCTGAATTGCACAAGAGTGTATATGGACCTTCTCTAATATTCTCTACTAATCCCATTCCTCCATCTCATTGTCCTCATCAGAGAGACTAACTGTAGATTTCAAATAGATCAAGATTCTTGTAGTGAAGTGAATGCGGCTGATTTCTGAAATGGAATCTGTGGTTGCATGTATTAGATACCAATGATTAAAGCTTCAAGAGAATCCAAGTAACATAGTACTTATCATTGTTTATTAGCTTCAGTGTAACTGTGTTCTCTATCTCAACTTTTTTACTCTCTTCTCACAGGCATTAGTGCAAATGAAGGATTGGTTTGTTCGTTTCCCAACAATCTTGCAAGGATGTGAAAGCACTATTGAAATGCTTAGAGGGCAGTATGCTCACTCGGTTGGTTGCTTTCATGAGGCTGCTTTCCATTTTACTGAAGCTACAAAGGTCTCTGATCTCATGTTACAGTGTTCTGCTCATCCATATTAATTTTTTACTCATGAAGAATGCTGAGCTGACATGACTACCATAATTTTGGTTTAACAGAAATTGTGTTTCTTTTTTTAGCTTACTGAAAGCAAATCTGTGCAATCTATGTGCCACGTTTATGCAGCTGTCTCCTATATCTGTATTGGAGATGCTGAATCATCTTCAAAGGTAAATTCTTTGATCAGGAAGTTTAAGACTATTCTTGTATTTTTCTTTTCTTTGACCTTCTAGAATATTGTATGCAACTGAGTAGTTTTCTTCAATTTATGTATAGGCCCTGGATTTGGTAGGGCCAGTTTTCAGAATCATGGATTCGTTTGTTGGAGTGCGGGAGAAAACATGTATCATCTTTGTTTATGGACTTTTGTTGATGAGGCAACATAATCTACAAGAGGCACGGTATGAATGTTAAATTATTATTTACATAACATTATACTTAAGAAGAGTCTTGATTATCTCTAGTTGTTTTTAACTTTTTGTAACTGCGTCGTCTATGTCTTTGCTTGAAGGCAACCATGTTCCTTCGATTTTGTTCCTATCAGTTCTTTCAGGAAGTCTTAATTCTTTTTCTTTATTTGTTGGAATTTGTTTGATTGTGTATGATGCTATTCTATCTATTGAAAGAGACAAAGAAGCATGTTAAATTAGGACAAAATAACTGAAACCATTTATGTATCAGCCTGTTGCCCATGCTTTTATGCCATGTGATGTTTGATTGTTATCAAGGTTATTCAGTTCTGATGTATTTACATACCTCATACTGGACAAATCTGTCCTTCCTAAATTGCTTTTGCTTGTATACTTTTCATGTTTCTCTATAATAACTTTTCATGACAAAGCACTCAATTCTTGAATGCATTTATTTTTGTGAGACAAACTAATTCACATAATTGTTTTAGAGCAAAACTCTTTTCATCCATGACTCAATTAATATTTGAGAAGTGAATGCATTCATCATTCTCAGCTGTTTCATGGTATTATTGATTCTTTTATTTGTTGATTTTTGAGATTGTCTTACTTCAGCTATGTCTCTAGCTTTATCTAGGTGTTACTGTTCTTTATAAAGTGTAAAATCATAGCACCTATTGCAGGAAAGTTTGCAATATAAATAAGTCTGGTAGAGTATAATATGTTATACACAAATAATATTAATAAAAAAAATCTGAGACTCAAGTTTAATATATTGCAGACTTAAAATCTGAGCTATTCATGTCAAAGTTCTTCATATCATCCCCAGAAAACTGCAATACAATTAGGTCACCAGATTGTATTCTGAAATTTGTGTTTTGTGGATGTGTGATGGTGATAACCAGGTTATTGTTGCTTTCCTGTCCTCTAAGATCTCTTAGCAACTTGTAGTCTTGGCATATTATATATGTCAGTCATGCTTGTTTTTGCAAACATTTTCATGAGTACCAGATCTTTTACTGTAGAAAGTGGTTCTCTGTCAAATATTTGTTTTGCCACTTTACAAAACACTTTTAAAAATATTTCTGTTTGTAGGTGGATATAATTGTTGAAACCCTGTTGTTTTTGTATTTTCGCATCTTCGAATGTAATGGTCTTCCTGCAACTCTTCACCTGGCTTTTCTTCCTTCTTATATGAGAAACTGCTTGTAGTGAAGATCAGCTTATAAGTGGGTAAATTGTGTATAACCTTTATATTTCACAGAAAGTGATTTTTGAAAACTATCTTTGTCTGTCGCTTATAATTTGTGCCTATTGTTCATTGTTACTAATGGAAATTGAAAACTCCTACTGTTCAGTTTTCAAGTAATCCCAGCTTATACATCTTTTATGCAGAATTCGCCTTGCCAGTGGCTTGAAAATAGCACACCAACAATTGGGCAATATTCAACTTGTTTCTCAGTACTTGACAATTCTAGGCACTTTGGCCCTTCAGTTACATGACACTGGACAAGCTAGGGAGATATTGAAGTCATCATTAACACTTGCAAAGACACTCTATGACGTTCCAACTCAGATTTGGGTCCTTTCTGTCTTAACAGGTACTTCGGTCATACAGCGTGTCTATACTCTGCGTTTCTGCCTTTCCAAGCCTTTTTTCCTAGATAAAATTGCATGGTCAGTTCTCATGGCATGCCAGAGAAACTATTAACATGCTGTGGCTGCGCATGAAACCCTGGAACTTCAGACGAACCTGCTATACGAATGGATATTTGGTCTTTTTATAGTGTAGAACACCCTTAAGTAGGAATGACCCATATCAAAAGTGTAAAATTCATTGAGTTATGCTACTTTCATACAGCTTTATATCGAGAAATAGGCGAGAGAGGAAATGAAATGGAGAACTCAGAGTATGAAAGGAAAAAGGAAGATGACTTACAAAAGAGGCTATCTGAAGCTCATTCACGCATTCATCACCTGGAACTGGTATGCAAAAATAAAGTTATGCACTCATTTAAATTAATACTTTAAAGTCTTATATCATTTTGTCTAGCAGATATTAATATACTATATGTTTATATAATATGTACAATCAGTTCGGTTCTGTTGCAAATCTTAAACAAGTGGTCAATTACCATTTGATAATCCCAGTTCACCTGGTCATTGGCTTGTAAGTTCCATTCTAGTTGGATTATAGAACGTTATGATTTCAGCTGATGAGAACTTTAGGTGGCCATTACTACTAATTTGGGTTTATTATTTCGGGTCACTTTAATTAAGAGTATAAATTATTGGTCCAATAGGCTGTCAGATTGTATATGAAACGATTCATAAATCTTCAAATATCTAGTGGTAGCTTAAGTCTTGAAGGCAAATTAAAATATCATTTTTAGCATATTCAAAAACGTTTTTAGCTTGCATGAATATTAATTTCAAGTTGGAGTTGAATACGATGCAGATTGAGAAGGTGATGGTCAAAGTTCAGCCACTGCATGAAGTTGCAATCCGAAAAGCAATTGCTGGTCCATCAGCAAAGGTTGACCTCGACATCCCTGAGTCTGTCGGTTTGCCGTTCCCCCAACCTGCTGCCTCTGCATCAAGGTTAGGCGAATTTGATTTAGTAAGACGTGGCAAAATGAAGATGTAGCTGCATCCTTGACAGGTAAAACTTGATATCATGGGCAACAATACAAGATCATATGTTGCACGGTTTGATTCTGTGTTAATAGTGTCATAAAAAGGCCTTCAGGTTGTGTACAAGTTGTTCATTGTGTCTATTGAAATGTGATGATTTTTTGTATAGTAAATGGTCACGTAGTTTCACCATGTTGATAGCAATTTCAGGTCCAGCCGTTATGCTAAAGAACTTAAGCATTGACCTAAGGAAAGATTGCACTCTTGCTACCTGTGATCAGCATCGATAGAAAAAGCTGTTGACCGGCGATCAAGCACATTCATCAATACGGGCAGTCGTTTCTGCTTTATCCAGCAAAACATATCGTCTAGTTGGTATCAATCAGCACGGAGAAAAACCAGCTTTACCGAAACCATCTGGAATAAAGACAAGGCAAGCAGAGTGCTCATGGCAAACGTAAACCAGAGCTGAAGCCTTTGAAATGGAAAATAGGTATCAGGTACAGCAGAGACCACGATGCGATGGTCTGCCTGGCCTCATTTCCTGCAAAAGAAGAGCCTTGGTCTAAGGGAAGCTCTAACGACGACTGTGACGACGCCCGTCGCCCTTAACAACAGTCTTGAAGGGCACAAACCCAATAGAAGGGTATACCCAACGTTGGACTACTTTGCGACTGCCCAGTTCAAGCCTCCGCCTCGGGGCACTTCTTGCCCACGGCCGCGATGGCCCAGACCACGCCGAACGGGTCCCTCACCTTCCCACAAACGCCACCCTCATACTCCGTCACCTCGCCAACGATCTCCGCTCCTGCGGTCACCGCCTTCTTCATGACCGCGTCCAAATCCTCCGCCTCCAGCCGCAACAAGATTCCACCACCACTCGCCACCGTGGAGCCGTCCTCCCCCCTGCCGTCAGCACCAAAACCGCATCGGTTTAAGAAAGGGAAAGAATGAGCTAATGAAACCCGTACATATGACGGAGCATGGGCCAGGAACCGTGGGACGAGGGAGGCTTACGCGTCGTCGAAGCGGTCGTTGACGAGCAGGAACGACGAGCCGATCTTGAGCTCGGCGGAGAGGATGAGGGGGAGCTCTTGCTCTGCCTTGCGCTTGGGATGCGCCACCCGCCGGAGCTCCTTCGCTCCGAATGCTGCCTTATAGAACTGCACTGCTACCTCCGCCTTCATCCCCGGCACAACCAGCTGCGGCTTGAACCCCAGCAACCCCGTCGTCGCAGTCTCATCGGCCATCGCCTGAAGAAGAAGTTAACCCTAACCCTAGGAGAGAACGAGATATGGAGAGAGCTGCCGCTGAGAAGAGGAAGCAGCGATACGAGAAGCGAGTTCCCTCTTCCGGTGAGGTGGGTATTTATAGAAGGTGAAGGCAGCGAAACCGTAGATATTCATATCGTTCTGCCCATTCTGTGGGTAAAAATAACGAGCCGGCCATCCGCCGATTCCAATCGCTTCCTGCCGTGCTTTTTGTTACTTCCGAGGTATCCTCCTACCGTGTACCATAAACGGTGGGCTTAGAAGCAGCATCATCCGATCGGGACCGTTCGTTGCATGCTGCTTGAGCGGACGAACGGACAAGATGGGCGGAAGTCGATGAAACGGAAACCGACACGCGACGCGGATAAATTTTGGTACGGTAGCTTGAACTACATCAGCCCGGTGAGGGGTAATGATGCAGTTTACTCGAAATATTAGGGGTATTTGTTAAACTAGTCACGTAGACGGGATGACGACTCGTGGGATAGGGGATCCTCTGCAATTGTATTTATAAGCATACTCCTAGTACCAGTATCATAACCGTTCATCTACACCGACGTGGAAGATGAACGTACGATCAAAGGTTACGTGGTCCAGACGCCGGAGAGGATCGGAATGCAGTGTAGGCCCGGCGGCAAGCTCGGCATGGGCATGCCGGCTATAACTGCCCGTATGCCGCCGCTTACTCCTACGCTTGTTGGTGGACACCCACAACGTCGCCCGAGAGTAGTGCCGTGTGGGACCCCCTTTTGAGGCGGAACATGGGCGGCGTGGTGGCACTTACCGTTCTTTTCGTGGTTGCACTTTCTGAAGCGGGAGCAACTCGGTACCCTGTCTCTGCCAGCTGTAGGCCCCGCTATAGCAACCCTATTACGTAGTAAAACGTCGACCGCTTTCTTTTCGGGTCGAATCATGTGGACGGGAACGGAGGGTCAATCCCGTCCTAGGGGGCCCCACCAGGGAGTGGGTGACTTTGGCGTGGTGAGTAAAACCGGAAGAGAGAAAGATGAAGCAGTGTACACGTGTCTGCGTTTTGATGTACAGTTGTGTTATTTATTGTAGTTTATTATTGATATTTATTTATGTTGTAATGCGTGACAGGGACACATAAATAGTGGGATGTTGTTTGTGTATACTAAACAACGGAGCTCTTTTTATTGCTTGCGAAGGCGATCAATCATCTCACCAACCTCAATGCACCGGTTCTCTCCTGATGGCTTCCCACGTGTCCTCTTCTGCCTCTCCCTTCTCCAATATTTAGCAATATTCTTTTCCCGCGCCCATTCCCAATCCATCGAGAACGAGTGGGAGCGACAGCGAGAGGGAGGAGAAATCAGGAGAGCGAGGCGAAGAGAGAGGGCGGTTGTGAGAGAGAGGGAGGATGTGCGGAAGGACTCGTTGCACCCTCAACACCGATCAAATCGCTAGGGCTTGCGGCCTCACTGTCAATGCCGCCTCCATCCGCACCCACGAAATCGACCGGTGAGCATATCGATAAACCCTCACCCTGTGTTCGATTCTCGCGATGGATTGTTATTCTTGGTAGAAGGTCTTAGGTGTTGGCTCCTCTTTTGGGTCTGATTCGTAGGTATCGTCCGTCCTACAACGTTTCGCCGGGGGCGTACCTGCCGGTGGTGCTCGTGGAGAGGGCCACGGGAGAAGCGGAGGAGTCGCCGGCCATCCGTTGCATGAAGTGGGGTCTGGTTCCCAGCTTCACAAAGAAGACCGAGAAGCCTGATCACTACAAAATGGTACTGAAAATTATGGTGGCAGAAATAATTGGATTGAACATTTCATTTGGAGATTCAGCTTAGGGATTCGATTTGGATTTTACGGGTTATTGAATTTATTGTTGTGTGGTTTGTTATCTGGTGGCTTTGAGGTAAATATCCACTATAGTGAATCACTGTGTCCTGAAAAGTGGCCATTTCGATCATTTGTGGAGCTGCATAAGTGTTGGCTCATCAGCTGCTTTGTCAACGGGAGCAGCAGTCTTATGTGCTTTGTTGCTTTTACAGGTTTAATTTACTATAATCCTGAGCAGCAGTCAAAATAAACATAAAATTAGTGATGATGCAAACATTAAACCAACTTCTATTGTCAAATTAACATTAAACCAACTTTTTGGAGAGAAAGAGGAAAAAATCGAAAACCAAAAGAGAAATCTACTAGAGATCAACAAATAAATAAGCATATTAGAAAACCGACGAAAGATTTAACGTGCTTCGGTAAATTCCATATACATCCATTGAGAAAATCAAATTCTTCACAATGTGAGATCTAAAAATTATGATCTTTAGTTATCCTCATCCAAACACAAATTTCTTTACAAATCCTCTCACATAAATCCCCAAGAATTTACACTCTTTTCTCACCCTAGAGAGCACTCTCTCTAGATACTTTAAAGAGAATTCCAGGAGTACCAATAGAATTCCTCACATCTTGCTCTTCCTTGAGGGGGTCTTTTTCTCGTACTAGGAATTCCAAAATATTTGCCAATCCCAGTAGGTGTTGGCTCAATCAGCCGCTTTGTCGATAGGTGCTGTAGCTTTATGTGCTTTTTTGCTTTTATACGTTTAATTTACTAGAACCTTGAGAAGTAATCAATATAAACTTAAAATTAGTGATGATGCAAACATTGATCCAACTTTTATTGTCAAATTAACATCACATGCATCCTCTTATGCAACATAAGATTCATCAACATATTACTAGAAATTGATAGGAAGTGCATTACCATAACACTAACCATTATACTTTATTATCCATATATATTTCATTTATGTAAGATACTCAAGCAGAAAGTGAACACATTTTTTTAAGTCAAATAAAGTTATCATCGAAATGATTTCTTAAAAATAGAGGGAAAATATCTTATTTTGTACAGCTTTAGTAATGAATTCTGCCTCTCACTTATGAGTCATTGAAATAAGATTATTGTGTTAGACCACAACTAATGACCTATATCTGTAAAAGGTGGTGAGTGAGAAATATCTTTGAACTATTGGATAAATTTTCATATTGTGCAATACATGCCAAAAAGTTTAGGCTTGCTACTAACGAGAAAGACAACTGTGATCTTTTCCCTTGTATGCAGTTCAATGCTCGATCAGAATCAATAAAAGAGAAAGCTTCATTTCGTCGACTTGTTCCTACTAACCGGTGCCTTGTGGCAGTAGAAGGGTATGACAGAATTGAGTACCTTTATCTTTTCTGCTTTGTTGTTTTCCCATTACTATTTATTTATAAGCTAGTTTCGTACAACATCTCTTCCTTTGAGAAATACCATTATGAATTTCTGTAAGATGATATCTAAACCTTAAACACCCTAAATATGTTAGGGTTATAGATAGAACCAAAATATTCAATTCTGGTCATTGTGGCCTGATTAAACTGTTAATCTTGATGCAATTGGACCTAGCTTTATTCATGTTGTGTCCTTTAATATGAAATCATATGTCCTGTAGTCATGTAATGTCATTTCACTTTGACTGCAAGGGAACTCTTCATGGAGTTGAGAATTGTCTAGCTTTACTCTTTGTGTTTTTGATCTTGTTATTTTGATTATTAATACCTGATCAGTGTGCGTGCAATCATTTGGATGTAGATTCTACGAGTGGAAGAAAGATGGTTCAAAAAAACAACCATACTATATACATTTCAAGGATAACCGACCTCTTGTATTTGCTGCTCTCTATGATGCTTGGAAGAACTCAGAAGGTGAGTTTGTTATCTTTTTACTTTTACATTTCGAAGACTTAAAACAAATGACGTAAAAGAGATAAATATGTTTGCTAAGTTGGGCAAAGACAATGGACAAGTATTTGTACTTGAGGGATGAGATATGAAGTTCACCAATTTTAAGATCTACATGTTTAAGAGTAGAAAGTTGAAACATCTCTTAGTTTTGCATAGTGTCATTTAGGCAAGATTGAAATCCTTGCTTGAGACTTGAGAGTACTAAAGTCTGGCTCTTTGAATATTCATAGTGTCCCAGCAAGCATGTATTTATGCTGTCAATTCAGCAGACCTGAAACATGGTTGACATATGGACCAACAAAAGCTGGTAAGATACATATTTGGCAGTCAAATTATATCTTGTGCATAAAATAAGATGTATGGCAATATTTAATCCTCAGGACAAGTTACATTTTGCAGCAGGTGCATGCCTTATATGATATTGCCTTTGGCTTAAGTGTCAAGCTGGAAATAATCATATTTTTATGCAAAGAAGAATTAGATTGATTGAAGTAGTATTTATTGTCATAATGATATTTTTCCTTTCTATTTTACATTTTTCTTATTGTTCTTCCCACTAAACAACGTTTGGATTGTTTCATTCCAATTCCATGATTGACGGCTATAAAACGTTCTTGGTTTTGCTTTTTGTTACAGGGGATATCCTTTACACCTTAACAATTCTGACCACAAGCTCATCATCGGCCTTGCAGTGGCTTCATGGTTTGATCTCTTGGTCTTTTTCCTCTATCATGAAATTTGATGGTTTACATCATAGTTTCTAGTAAGTGGTGGAGAAATTGGCTAGGTATTTGAACTGGTTATGGCCTGACAAGTAGGCTTTATGAAATTTCCCTGTTTAAGATTGAGAAATACAAATTAATATGATGGAAGGTTTTTGTAAATAGGAAGAGATGTAGCAACATTTCCAGAATTTTTGGTTTGGTCGAATAACAAAAAAATCTGTCACAGCTGCATTAATTAACCATTATGATAGCAAGTACACTCTTCAATTTGTTGCCATCATTTAATTGTTTGAATAAAAAATTAAAGTTCATGGCATCTATAAACTAAAATTGTTTCATGAGTTTCTCTTTATGTCATATGGCTCATTCTATATGGTCACGGTACATTGGTTGCAAGAAGAATAGCTCCAAAGTAAATTTTGGTACCACAATAGTCACAATGCAATTCACCCCATTTCAATATCTACTTCATGGAGCAAATTATAATAACTAAAAATTTGTCAATTCATGTGCTAAAACTAAAAAAAGCTGATGTCCTTGAAACCCAATTTGACATAAAGCTCTTATAATTGCAGAAGTAGAAGAAGATGAACATACTGTAAAGCTTTATCATTATTTTGAGCAGTCTGAAGCATGGATTTGGTTTTTGTTTTTATTTTGTTTTGTGTTTTTTTGACAAACAAAACTTGTGCAACAAAACTTGCGCTGTTGCTTTTTTCCTTTTAGAAACTTAAATTACCTGAACAACCAAGCAACTTGAACCCCTCAGGTTCTTTTAGGTATCTGACCATTTTGTAAACCATGAGATATATTGATGGAAGACATGTCACACTGATTGCATGTTGTTTCTGTATCTTAGCCAAGTTGTGACGAAGGCTAATAAAAAAAGTTATGATGTACAATCAGACAGAAATGTGGTTGAGTAATGGTGGATGACACAATGTAACTGATATTCTAATCCACTGTTAAATGTTGTGACCGCATTGATATCTTTAGTACCATATGGGTGTTCATATGGCATACGACATATCTATTTCTTCAAGATGAATATGTCTCTTATGACTCATGCCATAAAGACTTGTTAGTTAAGGGAAGAGCACTGGATGGTAATTGAGTTTATCAATTAGAAGGTTGTGTTGATTTGGGATTGAAAATGTTAATAGTATGCAAACTTGTCATAAAAGGGAACACTATGCAATATCGATTACTCAAATGAATTTTGGTGGTTGTTTTTTGTAGGGCTTTGTTTGTCAGAGCTGTATCTTAGTGTAGCTTCATTTACCAACAAAACAGACATATAGGTCCAAACGATCTGAAGAAGATTTTGATGTTGAGGACTGCATAGAACAATTGTCAGGGAACCTTTCTGAGGATTAGAGTTGTCCACTTGTTATGTACAGTAAATGTTAGAACCTATACTAATATCACTCAGGATCATGCCTTCTTCAAGATATGTTGTGAAGCTCTCCATAATGAATGCTTTGTGCAATCTATTCAACAGCAAAATATTAATTAAGCTGGCTGTGATTTCCCAAGTCTGCAGCATGCATTATCTGTCTGAGCACTAATATATTGTTGCAATAAAAGACATTTTTATTCATACGAAGAATTTTTGAGGATTCCTCATCACATATTACATATGTTTTCCTCGTGTTGATTTCATTCATCCTTTGGTAGATGTTTGATTTGGTGTTTCATCTCTTTTCTTGTCCCACTCTTGTGCAAAAAGATTCCAGTACCTTCTCTACATTGAGTTTTGGCAGGTGGCCATTAGACTCATTGCCATAGGTGCTGAGTCCTATTATGTGCTGAGGATAGAGTATCCCCTGATTCTCTTGTGACAATAAAACTGATGACAGAAGTAAGAAAAGCTTACTTCTGAATGTTTATGGTCTATCTGATGACGTAAACTAATTATGTGATGAGGCCTATCATGTTAACATATATTGTTATCATTTGTGGTCTGTGTTCTAGTATAGTGGTCTTACTTCTTTTCATCAAGTATTATAATGGAATATTCCTTTAGTTTTGGTATTCACCACTTTTAATCTGGAAAATCTGATGTTTGTGGATCATCAACATATATATTATTTCCATCACACTGCTTGATGTTTTATCCTTCATGTTAATTGATGACTAATTTAATGTGCACTTACCTGCAGATCGGATGCCTGTGATCTTGAGGAATGAGGGTTCTGTTGATGTTTGGTTAAACAAAGCCATACCAGAATTCGAAACTGTCCTTAGGTCATATGAGGATGCTGATCTGGTAAGTAGTTCTGCTTTAGAAGTCCAATTGGCTTATCCCATCTGGTGGTGGGACTTATTATTCTTTGGTGTCACTGTACTTGTGCTTTTTTTTCCTGCAATTGTCAATATTCTTCTATATACCAATATATCTATGAATAAATTCATTTCAACCTTTTTTTCTTGTAAATTATTCTTCTTGTTATGCTTATTATTTGAATTTTCTTGTATTTCACCATAAATTATTTGGTAGGTTTGGTATCCTGTGACAACTGCAGTTGGTAAACCATCCTTTGATGGGTCTGAGTGTATTAAAGAGGTACATCATATCTTAACTTGTATCACTTCAGAAGTTATTTTATGGAATTACTAATGCAATTGCTAGTTGACAATTGTCAGGAAGTAGAAATTGAAGCATAAATTGCTTCAAATTTCTATGAAAATGCTTAATAGTAAATATCAACCAATACTGATTAGTTCCTCTAGTACTTGAACAAGATGTTACTACTGGCTCTTTGGGTAAAGTATTGTTACATTAGGAGTGTTAATTTCAACTACTTTTTTTTGTGGTCTTAGTTTGTTGTGAAGATTAAGAAATGCTTTATTCTGCTTCTAGAATTATTTCAAGGGCTATTTTTGGAGCTTTAGGTTGTATTGTTTTTGGAAGTAATATTATGGAGTTTCGTATACGGTTTCTAATAAGCAAAATTTTGGAATATAGTGACCAACAGATGCATAAATTACAGGAAGTTACTGTTGGTTTGATTAATGGCGCATACCTTGATATTGATAAATTTACCTGTATAGTAAGTGTTTTGAATCTTCCAAGTACTGATTTTTAATAGGTGCCTCATGCCATATGTTGCATAAATTTTGGTTGATTTGCAATATCTGAGAAATGCTTTATTTTGTTGCTTTGGCTGTCCAGGGACATTGTGTGTCCGGTTAAGTTGTAATTTGCCATAAATAATTGACACAAAAGTTACAAGTTAAGTTTGAATGAGTTCTTCAAGTTAATCGTGTAAAAACCTACTTTTGGTGAGTAACACAATTCAAAAGCAAATAGATAAAATTTGTGGACATATTTAACCAAAAATTGAAATGCTAAATTGAACTCTGTACAGCCAAATTAGAACTGGTAGGATGAATGATGGACCCTTTGTGCAATCCTATAATGCCAATTTACAATCGTATATGTGTTTTGCTCTATTAACTGCCAGATACAACTCAGCTCAGCTGACAGAAACCCAATATCGAAGTTCTTTGCAAAGAAAACTGATGATAAGGACCAGATGGAGGTAAAGCATGGTAAGTCCCTCAAGGAATCTCCGAAAAAAGAGATTTTTGATATAGCTGCGGAACTCAGTATATCATCTGAAGAATCGCCACAAGGAGATCACTTCGATGATCTGAAAGAACATCTGGAATTCAACACACATGCAAATGCTGATGAGTCTGATCACTTCTCCCTGCTCAAGAATCCTAGCATAGAACCAGAAATTTGTGGCACCAAAAGAGGCTCCGGGGCTATTGCACCTGATTCTGGACTAACATCTGAGAAGGGCTCTAAACCTAAAAAGAAGGCACGGCCTGTTAAGAATACTGGGGACAAGCAAGCTTCCCTCCTATCATATTTTGAGAAGGCCTAGACGTTTTTTTGTTCAGTATATTTTGATGCTTGAACATGTTCCTTGTACAACTGCAACAAGTTTGCTTGTAATTGTCCTTTTACCTGTGAAGTCCAAACACTAATCAGTGACCTGGTAACTATATACTACAAGTGTTCTTAGCTCACAAGAAGCCGGAAGTGTAAGCTTTTCTCGTGTGCTTTCATCTCTTGAAGCTTCTGTACTTTGTGCTGGAGCTTTCTTTTCTCTGTTCTCATGTCAAGCTTTCATGGTTACATGGTGTCACCTTTGCTTCTGATATTTCTGACTCTGTTTTGTAGACGAGCGTTACGCAGCGTTGTTTCGTTGTCTGGTGGCGGGCGGAATCAGCCGTGAGGGACCCGCACCGTTGTTCTTTTTCTTGCTGTCCGTCCATTGAAGCCATCTCGTTTCTTCAAGGATGAGCTCGGTGGCCTGTCATGTCCAATGCTATCAACTTGCGGAGGTAAGCTAACCCTCTCGTAATCTGCGATGAAAGCGCATCATAATCGATTACTACTACTTTGCATTGTTGGCACACATCCCGTGATACTGCCCTTTTCTTGGATCATGCATTACACGTGCCTCTCCATCAATCGATCAACCTCGCTTATACACTATATAGCCAACCATACGTCGCCCATCCTCGAAAACTACCTCGCCTTTCGTCTTCACTTCCACCGCCGAATCTTCCCCAAGTCTGTTCTTCCGTCCTCCAATCCGATGGCTTCTCTCCACCCTTTCAATGCCGGCCTTCTTCGATCCCCTCCCAATCCCTTCGCGTCCTCCCCGATGGCGGCGCCTACCCGCAGCCTCCCCTTCCCCTGCCGCCCCTATCCTCCTCCTCACCGTCGTCGTCACTTCTTCCTTAGCCGCGGCGGCACCGCCCCATCTATCGAAAGGTACGCGATTCATCATAAATCAGGAATCAAGAAGCTTCGAATCCAAGAAATACAAAGAAGTCGTCCTTGTTTGATCTGCAGGAGCGAGGAGAAGAAGAAGCAGAAGAAGAAGATGCGCGAGGCGTCGGGGGAGCGGGGGGCCGTCCGCGTCCGCGTCCGGCTCGACCACCAGGTCGAGTTCGGTGAGCACGTCGCCGTTCTCGGCTCGACCAAGGAGCTCGGGTCATGGAGGAAGCACGTGATGATGGAGTGGACGCCCGATGGATGGGTCCAGGATATCGAGCTTCGCGGTGGAGAATCTGTGGAGTTCAAGTTTGTGGTTTTGTTAAGAGGGAAAAAGGATGTGGTGTGGGAAGGCGGGGGTAACCGGGTCTTGACGCTGCCTGAGAAAGGGGCTTTTGATATGGTTTGCCACTGGAACAGGACGGACGAGGCCTTGGAGCTGCTAGGGACTTCTCTCGGTGAAGAGGATGAGGAGTTGCAGAGTGCGGACGTTGAAGATGTGTCTTTGGTCGAAGACCGTAGTTTTGAATCGGAAGCAGGGGCGAGTCCTTTTGTCGAGCAGTGGCAAGGCAGGGCAGCATCATTCATGCGGTCCAATGACCATGCGAGTAGAGAGACAGAGAGGAAATGGAACACGGATGGTCTCGATGGTGCCGCTTTGAAGTTGGTGGAAGGCGATCGATCTGCCAGGAACTGGTGGCGCAAGGTAAGTCTGCATATATTTTTTTCTAACCTAAAGTGATACTCAGTTGACATGGAAACATTGTTTTTACCCTTTTATAATGCTTAGTGCGAGTTCACATAGAGGGTTCTGCAAGATATGCTGGTCCACTTGCATGCTTAGAGAGAAATATAAGAATAGTATAGTATTAACCTTCCTCTTGCTTCTTGATTTGTTATTTAAAAAAAATACATGCAAAAAGAAGGATGAATATTGTTTCCAAAAAAGAGGATTACATGAAATATCATAATAAGTAGGCAATGGATTTTTATGATTAAATAATTTAGGTGAATTCAAAAGGCTCTATGATTTCTGTTACTAGCTGCATATTGCAATGTAATATTGAAGGGACAGATTAGTGTTTTACCTAGTTCTCTTCAAAGCATGGAAACCATAGGATGGCAGTTAGGCATATGCTTAAGGAGCTACATTAACAAGGTGATTCTCTTGTCTTTGTTCTTATTTTGCATTCGCATACTTAAGGATTTCACCCATTATAAACCCTGAAATTGTGCTTTGATTAAAATAACTTAAAAAATCAAATATGGATAAGCAGGCTTAAGCTGTTATAATGGTATTGATGCATGCACATCAAAATTTCCTTCATTTAATGGGTTTTTGATCTATTTTAATGAGTAAATCTTCATTCAATGAGGTCATTTATCTGCCAGGATTGGTGGTGCAAGGTACAATTGCATATTGTTGTGTTTACCTTTCAGATGACATTATTGCCATGACTAATCTTCAGTAAACTCTGTGGAATAGTTGTTTCAGTCTTACTTGATGCTTAACGTGAGACCACATAGATGGTTGTGGAGTCCAAGCAATGATTGGCACCCGTGTATGGTTGGAAGCATCAAGTAAAATAGCATACTGACATCCTTCTTGCCGCTTGAACCACCAGTTGAAAATAAAATTATGAATGCTAAAAGGCTCAAGATCTTGTTTGTAAAAAAAAGACTGAATCAAATTCCATAGTTTTATTAGGTATTGGAGTTTCATGATTGGATAACTGAGGTGAATCTAAACATTAGTATCATGAAGCAGTTGCCTAATACAAGAGCATAGTTCAGCGATTTATCTAGTTCTCTACAAAGCAAGGAACCCACACAATGGAAATCACACATAAGCTTAAGGAGACGCACAAACAGGCTGGCTCTCTTTATTCATTGTTCTATTTCATCATTTGAACCTGGAAATATTAGGGTGGTGGTCCCAACCAATGGAGGGGTCTAGAAAGGGTCAACGTCTGTAGCCTTATCCCTACGAGTATAAAAGCTATTTCTGCTACTCATAAAGGAGGAACCTTACCATAACGATATAGTAATATTGCTGGGATTAAAAACTAGCTCATGATCACAAACTCATTTTACTCAGCATAAAGAATTTGAACAAACAAGCACAAGCAATAGTTACTTGTTTTGATACATTGACATCTGAAATATCCTTCTTTCAGTGAGTTATTTTGCTATTGCAACTAAGTTGACCTTGATCTTGCATAATTGCTTCCTGCAATGAATAAGAGTAGCACGGGTAGGTATTTTGTCATATAGCATGTGTATGTGCTTCTTAGTTTGATATTGGCACTACATGAGGTAATTGGTGGATCCTATCATGGCCATAAAACGCACACCAGTTTTGGGAAATTTTCACCCACCCGTGTAAGTTTACTGTTAGGAGCATGTTTAATCCCTTCAGGAGGACAACAAAAGGAAAAACCTGACTCTGCCACCTACCTTTAGGATGCTAACACTAGTCACATTAACAACTGCTTGACTGGAAGGACAAAAGCTGGCTACCTAACGTCAAAGTGGTCTCCTTTCACCCACAAGACTTACAGAAGGACAGAAGCTGCCTACTCAATGTCAAAGCAGTATTTTTTCAGCGAAAAGACTTACTGCTCACTGTTTGTTGTGGCTATTTATGATCTAGAGCTAAATATGATCTTCATTCATTTATAAGATCCTGATAATGTTCATCATATTCCACTGTTCATTGCAGGATGATTAGCATAGAACAAGGCATCATGGTACACTGTTGAATACAACAATACTGTGGAAATAAACTTAAAAAGGAATTTGCAAAAAAATGATTGAATTGCCAATTGGTTCTGATCCCATTGAGTAGGCCTCCTATCAAGACCCGAGACCAGGGCTCGTAAAACACTATAAGCTGGCTCATGTAATAAAAACCAGAATGATAATTTTAACTGCAGATCAACCTATTTTTGTCCAATATATTACTAAAAGAATCTTTATCTCAGGTTTGATTTATTTTTAGGGCTTAAGAGTTAAAGGTTATGTCTCCTCTACTCCTGTTATGCTACCTTACATGGCTTATTCGTGTAACAGCTTCTGCTAGAAAAGAGAAGGGTGGCTGTTGAACACGGGAAGTGGATAGTCACAAAGGAGCATCAGAAGTTACATTCTTTATAACTTTTGAAATAAATTTACTACTAGTTTGACAGATCTGTTGGTAAATATTGGCTATAAGTCAAGTGTCAATTGCCCAAAGGACACAATCTGGAGAAAACGAGCAGCTTGCTACTGATGATATGTGCTTGCTAAAAGCCTAAAACAATTGCTACAGCTGATAAAGCTAGTGTTGACTTTCATTTTGATTGGCTGTTGGTTCTGAGCTATCCACTAGTCATGGTTGCTGAAGTTGACACTTGGCAATTCCATGTTTGGCAAGTGTTAGTTCCAGACCTCTAGAAACATTTGCCGAAGAGACCAAGAATTTTCTGGTATTTTTTATCTTCTGAACAGCAACAAGTAAAAATTAACAGGATTCCAACACTGACCTTAGAGAAGATTGTATGATGGAGACAAAGCTTGTATCATCTATTAGGCAAACACTTTCCATTAGGTATACCAACATTTCAAATCTCAGTCTGATACTGGTGCTGGTCTTTAGGCAAACCATTATGATATTGGTACAGTTGGTGCACTATATGTTCGTACCCCTGTGCTGATCGGTACAGATTTCGTCAACGGAGGAAGGAGACTGGAAAAAGAGACAAAGAGAGATAAGGGGGAGGAAGAGGATGAAATGAAGGTGGCAAAGGAGGAGAAGCTGGAAAAGAGGAACTGATGGTGCTGACGGTGGTGATGGAGGTGGAGGAGATGGAGAAGAAGATGAGATGAGAGAGAAGAAGGATATAATACAATTATATCATCTGTTGGTATATTATAGAAAACTAAAAGCTTGATAATAGTAGGTGGTAGACTTAACACTTGATACAATTTGGTAACAGTCAATTTACTGTTCTGTAATCCTTGTATGGTGAGACTAACCACATCTAATTACTCCGAGTTGATGGAGATGCATGTGAAACCACAATGACTAAATAAGCTTTAGCTGAACCAGTCTCCTGCATAGATTCTGATGTTATTATGACCTTTATTTTAGTTCATCTGGTTTATGTACATGCCAAAAGGGTGTGGGAATTTGCTTTAATTAAGTGCAGCCTACAGGACTGCATGTAGGGAAATAAAAAGAATTTGAAAGCTCAGTCTTGCATTAATTCCTTGTATTATTTTGCCTGCGATAATAAATTATCTATAACATTATGTGGAAGAGTGATGCATTTTCTTGTGAATTTAATGGGGTATCTGTATGGATATGGTTGTAGAAAGTATAGAACAAATATCTAGGAACAGCAAATTTCTGCTTGTTGGAAAATAGTTGAGAAAGCTGTAATATGCTTGGTGAATTTATCTGCATGAAGAGGGTCTAATGCTATTTTGGTGCTGTTAAATTGCAGTTCAAATACATGTTCTGATATTCTACTTCTCTTTTGACCTTTGCTCAACAACATAATGAGGATTCAAGTTGCGTTTTTCATGACTATCGTATCTAATTACTTTCAATTTTTCTTTATGCAGTTAGAGGTTGTACGAGAACTTTTGACTGGCAACATTGGAGGAAATTGCTTGGAAGCACTAATATATTCTGCTATCTACCTGAAGGTTTTTTGAAATCTTTTCTGGTCTACAATGACAATGTTCAGTTGTCGTTTGTTGATTTTAAAGCAACTATTACCAAGTAGCATGATTGATGAGTATATATGCTTGATTTTCTTTTCGAGAATATAACTTTTGCAGTTGATTTTTGGAAGATAACCAACCTATTTGTGTTTTAGTGGATCAATACTGGTCAAATTCCCTGCTTTGAAGATGGTGGTCATCACCGGCCCAACAGACATGCTGAGATCTCCAGGCTTATCTTTCGTGAACTTGAAAGGATACACTACATGAAGGACACTTCACCTCAGGTTTTTTATAATATATTTATCATTTTCCATATAAAATTACAACTGTAATTTTTTTTGCTTTTACTGCTTGTATGCCTTCCTCTAGAAGCATTACTATATATATGTATCATCAAATGTTAAATCTTCAGATGGTATTTCATCAACTGGTGCCTTTACTAGTCTCAAATGCACCTTATTTTTTTCTTTTTTTTCATCTCTTTTCTCTAAGCCATCTGAATATGTAATCGTATAGTTTGTTGACAGATTTGCTTTAGTTCAGGTTTTATAGGATTGGCTAATACCTATCAGATATGACCAATCCAAATCAAAATCATCTAGGCTGATATCAATTGGAAGTTGGTTGATCTCTATCTGGGATTGGATGATGCAAATATTAAGTGGTAAATTCCCATTAGTTTCAGTTAATCCAATGCTGGATTAATTGAAATTGCTTGGTTGTAGATGGTATCAGTTTATATACGTTAACTGACTCCACTCAGTAAATTATGGGTGATTTTTTGGTTGGTTGGGATTGAAATTGGTAGGAGAGAGGACAGAGGTGGAGATGATGAGAAAGAAGAGAGTCAGCAGCATAAGCAGAAAAGGAGGTGGAGAGGAAGGAGTTGGAAAAAGAAAAAATCTATGTACTGACCTTGATCATTGCTTGTTGGTGGATGCCAGTTGCCACTTCTCTCGTGAAGCTTGATGCTTGATGATTGACAGTGCAGATGCTCATGACTCATGGTGAGTAGAGAATGAACATGGGGTTTGAGAAATATATATGTTCTGAAAGCAATGTCATCTTTCAATTTAGTTCTTACAAAATCTCCAAATGTGTATGTGTCCCTGATTGTCAGAATTGAACATATGCCCTTTCCAAGTGTGTGTGTGTGTGTATAATATTTATGTTCTACAAAGCAATGTCCTTTTCAATTTAGTTCTCACAAAATCTCCAAATATGTATGTCTCCTTGATTGTTAGAATTGAACATATGCCCTTTCCAAGGATATAAAATCAGCCAACGAAAATAAAAATATGAATTTTGAGGTACAAAAATAGGAAAAT